CCCCCTTTGGCAGTAGCCACTACAGGCTCCATTGTAGTTTCTCCACTGCCTTTCTGACAGCGGCTTCTCAGCATTATTCATCTCTGTCCCCACAACTTTTTTTGGTCCTTTCTATGGAACACTGAGGGTTTATTGTAAATTAGTTTACTTAATTTTAAGCACTAATAAATGGCATAGTTGAAAACTCAAAGGGTAGAAGAAACACATACAATAAAAAAAAGTAAACCTATCCCTGTGTTCTTCCCGCCCATGTACAATCAGTACTACCAGTGTTGTGTAAATGACTGAGTGTAGATACATGTTAATCTGATGAAATCTGTGAACTCTGTCTTCAGATGCATTACTGTACAAACACATCAGGTTTTATCTGCCATTTTGTAAGAATCCCAGACCTCCATCTGTTGTCTGTACTAAAGATTTCAGATCTCTGTGCAAACTGAAATGCAGGACTCTATTCAAAGAATTTCAGGGCAGAAACAGGCCAGACCATTGAACCATTGAACTAAGTGTGGCCACATGTCCATAAAGCTAGCCCTGCAGCTCCTCTTTTTTTCTGATTCTTGTACTTTTCTCTCCCTCCCTTCCCCCTTCCTCCCCTCTTTCTCTCTGTATGTGAATGTGAATGTATGCTGTTAATGGAGCTTGAACTCAGGGCCTCACTTGCTTTGCTGTTTTCCTCAAGATTGGTGTTCTACTAGATAGGCCACACCTCCACTTCTGGCTTTTTGGTAGTTAATTGGAGAAAAGAGTCCTTCACGTGACTTTCTTAACAAGGCTAGCTTCCAATTATGATCCTCTGATCACATCTCCTGAGTAACTAGGATTACAAGCATGAGCCACCAGCATGCAGCAATTGCACTACCATCTTCATGATGATTCTTCTCATGTTTCAACTTGTTCTGGATTTCAGATTCATCTATTCAAAAAACTGCTGAGAGCCAGGTGCTGGTGTCTCATGCCTATAATCCTGGCTACTCAGGAAGTTGACATCTGAGGACTGAGATTCAAAGTCAGCCCAGGCAGGAAATTCCATTAGATTCTTATGTCCAATTACCCACCAAAAAAGCCAGAAGCAGAGCTGTGGCTCAAGTGTTTAGAATGCTTGCCTTGAGCACCAGCGCTCAGGCCCTGAGTTCAAGCCCCAAGACCAGCACCGAGGGATAGAGAGAGAGAGAAAAAAAAAGAGAGAGAGAGAGAGAGACTGAAATTCCATATGAACATTTCAAGCTCAGCATCTCCAAAATAGAGTTCACTTACCCTCCTCACTGTCACTGCCTTCAACTCCTAGTTGCTCACCTTACTCCTACCATTTGTGTCTCATACACTCTTGTTACATCCCATAAATGTTTTGCTTTTTTTATTTTTATTTTTGCCAGTCCTGGAGCTTGAAATCAAGGGCTGGGCACTGTCCTGAGCCTCTCGGTGCTCAAGGCTAGCACTCTACCACTTGAGCCACAACACCACTTTCAGCTTTTTCTGTTTATGTGGTACTGAAGAATCCAACCCAGGACTTCATGCATGCTAGGCAAGCACTCTACCACTAAGCCACATTCCCAGCCCTGCTTTTTGTTTTGAGATAGTCTCACTATATAGCCCAACTTGGCCTCAAACTCATAATTTTCCTATCTCAGCCTCCTGAGCAATTCTGACCTTTAAATACATGCTTCTTTTTTCTGCTATTTCCCTTAGAATGGCCCTTCATCACTCTCCCAGTGTGTCACTGTTACTGGCCCCTGACCTTAGCTCCACCTTGTCTCTGTTGCTCTAGTCCATCTACCTCTCCCCAATATCCCAACCATGTCACTTCCGTATTTGGAGACTTTCATGGGCTCACTTCCTACCAAGTTAGGCACAAACTCCTTTGCCTTGGCTAAAAGCCAGACTCTCTGTGGTGGGACTCCAAATCTTCTTTTCCATGCTCATCTTCTACCCCTCCTCTTCATGTCCCTGAGGTTTCAACCCAACTGTACACCCATCTGGTCCCTTATTGGCCCCATGTGTTTTCCTGCTTTTTAAATTTTGAACTGCTTCTTTGCATAGTCCTAGAGTTTAAAGCTTGCTAACTCTGCCATAGCCATGTAATTTCTCTGATCTTTTCACCACAACTATTGCATATGGCTCTGACCATAGTGTCCCTGCATTGCTTCTTCTGTACTTCCATCTCTTCCTCCCTTCCTCACTGGAAGGTAGAAATCTCAGAGTCAAAGCTAAATAAAACTGCCATATAGTATCAAGCATCCAGTGGAATTCTTAGTCCTGTTTCTTACTGGTAACCTGAAGCAAGTTACTTAAATTGTTTATCCCACTCTTACGAGGTAGAATATCTTATATAGGAGAGTGGTATTATTGCTGTCACATGACCACTCAGCAGAGACAGTCCCCCTTAGCTCTTCCCCAGCTGCAAGGATTTCGAAAACATGTCATCTCTCCATCAGGTTCTGGGAGACTGCATGTGGTGGGGTAAAAGCCTGGCCCTCAGGTACTCAGGTAGTTACATTGTGTGTCTAGGGGTGAGCAGAACTGCTGCCTCTGCTCCCTTTGTTCAAACTCACGGCTCAGGCAACAGCAGGCGTGGGCGTCCCCAGGGGAGGCAGTGACAGCTTCAGTACTCACACGGGCTTTGCAGGTGACAGCTGGGGCTGTGGGGTTCTGTCAGAGGAGACGCAGGCAGACCCCATCATGCCTCAGCTAATGGGCAACCTTGGTGGATATGCCTCTACTTTAACGGAGCCCAAGTCAAAGCTGAGCAGCTCTGGAAGGTAATGGTAGCTCCCAGCCTGCTTCCTGCAGAGTAGAGTAGGACAAAAATGGGACCTTCAGCCAGACAATAGTGGCTCACACCTAGAATCCTAGTTAGTTAAGAAGCTGATATCTAAAGATCGCAGTTTAAACCCAGCCTGGGGAGGAAAGTCCATGAGATTCATCTCTAATTAACCACCAGAAAAACAGAAGTGGAGCTGTAGCTCAAAGTAGTAGAGCATTAGCCTTGAACAGAAAAACAGGGATAGCACATAGGTCCTAAGTTCAGGCCTTATGACAAAAAAAAAAAAAAAGAGAGATGAGGCCTTCAGTTTGGAGACTTGGCCCCATTGTCTCACTGTTACTAAATTAATACTAAAAGATTCCAGCCTCTTTATATGTCCATTTTTCAGTTATCTTTTTTTTCAATTATCTTTTTTTTCTTAAGTTTTAGCAAGGATTTATTTTTAGCATAACAGAGTTAAAGCAGGGAATAAAGGAGAAAGAGAGATAGGAAAAGAGAAAAACATTGTTTGCTCCCATGAAATGACAGTTAAAGGCTCCAACCTGACTTTGTTATACGTATTTGTGTGTGTGTGTGTATGCGTGCACCCATGCGTGCATGCGTGCATGCATGTGTGAATCCTGGGGCTTGAACTCAAGAGTCTGCATGCTGACTCTGAGCTTATGAGGCCAGTGATCTACCACTTGAGCCACAGCTCATGAACTTTCCAGCCTGGTCTGTCTTCGAACAATATCCTCAGATCTCCGGAGTAGGTAAGATTACAGGCATGAGCCACCAGCCCATAACTTCTCAATTTTTATCTTTTGTTGTATGTGTATGTGTGCCAATCCTGGGGTCTGAACTCAGGCTCTGGGCACTGTTCCTGGGCTTTTGTGCTCAAGGCTAGCACTTTACTGTTCTCCACTTCTGGCTTTTTTTTTTTTAATTGGAAATAAAGGTCTCACAGACTTTCCTGCCTCGGCTGGCTTCGAACTGCAATCCCAGATTTGAGTAGGAAAGGTTACAGGTCTGAGCCATGGGTGCGCCACTGACCCTATTATCTTTAAAGGCCTGTTACCCTTTGAAATGGACTACCCTCGCCGGGCGCTGGTGGCTCACGCCTGTAATCCTAGCTACTCAGGAGGCTGAGATCTGAGGATCGCGGTTCAAAGCCAGCCCGGGCAGGAGAGACCATGAGACTCCTATCTCCAGTAAACCACCAGAAAACCGGAAGTGGCACTGTAGCTCAAGTGGTAGAGCGCTGGCCTTGAGCTGAAGAGCTGAGGGACAGCGCCCAGGCCCAGAGTTCAAGCCCCACAACCGACAAAAAAAAAAAAAAGACATGGACTACCCTAGAACCACAGCCTTCCTATAAATTTAGGTCCTTTGTTCCTCTGGGCCTCCTGAGTTTTCTTGTCTAAAACAGAAGTTTCCATCCACAGCCATTCCTTCTTCGGGGGCTCCAAAGACAAAAAGCCAACATGAACAGATGGCAATAGAAAAAATTCTTTATTGGAAGGGAAAGGGGTGGTCCCTTGCTGGTGCCTCCTGGGCCCTGGCCAAAGGGATTGCCACCACTCATCTCTACATCCTGGCAATCTAAAGGCAGAAAGTCTGTTCCACCTCACCTTTAATAACCTTAAAGGGGAAGTGCCACGGTGGACTCGTAAAAACAGAATCTAAACTCAAGAATAGCACTTCCAAGCCCTTGCCTTTAAGAACTAAGTTCTTAAGGGCAAAGTGGACCGGTTGCAGCAGGTAAGAGCCAGAAATTTTTCAGAAGTCTCTGGAAGAAGTGTCCGTGTTTTTACCTTTAAGATTCTTTAAGGTGAGGCATGTTCAGAGTAGAAAGGAGGTCAACTCCGTCCAGGAGTCTACAAAGCACTTTCCAGTTCTAGTTTTTACAGTCTCTACACAGGAAAGGTGGCCTAGCGTGAGTTAATAATAAAGCAAAACCCCTGGCAGAACTCTTTCCCCCAGTCCTGCCCCGCCCCGCCCCGCCCCGCCCCGCCCACTCCGCTCCACGCCGAGGTCCTGTCCGCGCCTTCAAAGCGCTCCCTGCCGCTAGCTGTCCAATGACAGCGTGGTGGGGGAGGGCAACGCCCGCGGGCCCCTCCCCCGGGTCACACCAGGGCATCCTGGGAGTTTTTGGTTTCCTAGACGGCCTCCCTAAAGGAAGCCAGACGGGGGCGGGGCGAAGGGGCGGGGGGAAAGGAGCGGTGGCTATGGCGACTGCCGTGGTCATAGCGACCAGGGCTCAGAGCACTGAGAGGTCGTGGCACGACCTGGAGCGCTGCTTGAAGAACTTGGCGTTGCGCGGCACCAGGTTGGCGAGGAAGCGCTTGGCTTTCTTGGTGAGGCTCTCACGGCGCGCGGGCGGCGCGGGGCCTTCGGGGCTGCCAGACTCAGGGCGCGGGACCCCAGTGCGGCCCCGGCCCCGCCGCAGCCGGATCTGTCGCACGACGCCCTCGAAGAGCTCCTGCGTGTTGTGGTGCAGCGCCGCCGACGTCTCGATGTGCTTGCAGCTCAGCGTCCCGGCCAGGTGGCGGCCCTCTGTAGGAAGGGACTGTCTCAGGTGCCCGCCGGGCATCGCGGTGCACCCAGCAAGGGTGGAGCCAGCCGAGGTCGGGGCATGAGGTGGAAAAAGGGAGGGACTACCGATTCCAACCCAGAGAACCCATCTGGTGGTAGGGTGATGGAGATGCGAAGGAGAAGGCGCAAGAGTGAGGGAGGAGAAGGGAACCCTAGAGCTGTAGGATAGCTGTTTGGGGCTGTATTGATTAGCCTGGGGCTAATGACAAGTGTTTGCACACCGAGGAGGATAAAACCAGGCCCTGGGGAGAAGAGGTGACCCAGAGGGGAGAGCATTCTGTTGAGGTTGGAAGCATGGAATTGGTTTAGGATACACACCCTCCAGTGACACCTCCCGGGAACGGGCCAGGTCACTCTTGTTTCCAACAAGGATGACAGGAAGGTCGTGGTGGGGCCTCCCAGCCCGAAGCCGAAGTAAAGTCTCTGGAACTTTGGAAAAGCTTCGTCGATCAGTGACTGAGAAGACGATGAGAAAGGCATCCCCGGTCTGAAGACAGTGGTCCTGCAGCCACCCTCCAGAGTCCCCCTGCAGATGAGCAGAGAATGTTAGGGCTGTTGTCATAGAGGATTCTACCCAGCACTTCAAGATGAGGAATCAGACTGTGAAGGAGAAGCCACTTGCTTAGGACAGCAAGCTAAGGAACAGCAGAATCTCCACATCCACTGTGTATTTGTTAGTAATGTGAGCCCCACCTGGGAGGCCTGGGGACCTAGGATCATAGACTAAGCCATTCTACTGTGTGTATGCGTGTGCATGTATGCCAGTACTGGGGCATGAACTCAGGTCCTCCTTGTCCACTATCTCCAAAAGGCTGGCACTCTACCACATAGTCATTTCTTCCACTTCCAGGTTTTTGCTAGTTAATTGTTGGTAAGAGTCTCTTGTATTTGTCTATCTGGGCTGGCTTTGAACCAAGATACTCAGATCTCAGCCTTCTGAGAAGCTAGGATTGTCTTGGCTCCACCCTGCTTTCTTATGATTAAGCTCTTGAGTCAGAAAAGAATACTATTCAAGAGTATATAATTGGGCTGGGAAGGTGGCTCAGTGGTAGAGTGCTTGCCTCTCATGTACGAGGCCCTGGGTTCCATTCCTCAGCACCACATAATCAGAAAAAGCCCGAAGTGGCGCTGTGGCTCAAGTGGTAACCTTGAGCTGAAGAGCTGAGGGACAGCATCCAGGCCCAGAGTTCAGCCCCCATGACCAACAACAACAACAAAAGAAGTATAAAATTGAAGAGTATCTCATTTATACAGTAACTATGTTCAAATATTGAGAAGCCCTTATCCCCTCCTCTTGCCTGGTACCCCAGAGCCCTGAGTTGTTGTCCTGTTTTGTGACACTCCTAGGCAGAATAATTTATGGATGGGGTTAATTTCTGGGTGTCCAGCCTGAACTGAAGTTACAGGATTTGTCAAAGTTAGACCTTAACTTTCTCCAGAATCAGGTTTTATGGCCACTGGCCATAGTGTGCAAACTAATATGGATCTTTGCCCTCTGAGGGGATACAAATGAAAAGTAGTGTTTCATAGAGAAAATGGGACTTCAGTCCCACTTGCCCTTGGCCAGAATGTCATTCCCCATTCCTTCCAGTTTTGTCAGCTGCTTGGAGCCACACTTTAGTCCTCACCTGTTCCCAGATGTCATAAACAACTAAGGTCACTTCCTCTTTATCCACCATGATGCGTCTCTCATAGGTGTCCTCTGTTGAGAAATAGCGTGAGTAAAGCCAATTAGGTTTTCCATCACTTGTGAGGCCTGATAACCAGGAGCACCTCAGATTTTAGCACCAGGGGACTTCCTCTGGGGAGATTGCCACAGAAAGCACTTCTGTCTTTCAGGGGTTGCTTATGCCAAGAGTATTCATGCCTGATTAGGGCCCCCAGAGTCCCCTCAGCCCATGAAACCTCCCCTAATACCTGAGTTCTCAGGGTCATGAGCTGTGTCCCCTTGGAGACCGCCGAAAGTGCCTGCTAGGGTGCTCTTGCCCACGCCACCTTCCCCAACTAGCATCACCTTGAAGATGCCATCCTTTTGGGCAGGAGCTGCCTCTCCTGAGCCCAAGGAATCAGAGGAGCCAGAGGATGAGGCCTGAGGTGGCCAGTCAAGTTCATCCACAGCCTGGGCCCGCCGCAGCTGGTGCTTGTAAGGCACAGGCATGCTGCCTCTTCGTCTGGGGGCTCCCAGGGCAGAGGGTGGCCCATTCCGGTCCAACCCTGCCAACAGTTTCTCCTGCTTCTTGAGAAGTGAAGCATCTGCTTCTGGAGGAGCAAAGGAAAGCCATGAGTGGGATAGACCCAGCCATCTACAGAGAGCTTAACTCAGGTCTTTCCAGCTTCAGAGGCCTAGCCACACCCAGTCAATGACCATGACCCACGGAAAACTGAGCTCTCTGGCCCAATCCTGAACACTAAAGTCCCCCAGAACTTCCTTCTAGAGAATTAACATGAGATAGATCTTCCCCACCATGGCCTCAGCCATAACCTGTTCAAAACATGCCTCGTGCAGGGAGGCACCTGTGTACAGGCTCACACCCACTCACACTTTACACTGACAGTCACACCCCTCGACTAGGCCTCTGCCCCTGGGGGTAGCTCCTTCCACCCACCCAGAGCCTTGCCTTCCATTGCTTCCTGCACTCGTGAACCCCAAACTGAGGAGGGACAGAAGGGATGAGAAGCTGAAACAATCACCCGGATCCTAGGGAGTAGGTAGGGGCAGTCAAAAACTTTGTAGGGAATCTGTTTCCAGAGCTTTGTAAGATAATGTGTATGTTAGTCTGTGTGAGTGTATATGTGTGTGTGTGGGGGTCTGCTTCCTGTGGCCCCATAGGTAAGTACCCTCCGGTACACTGCTATGTGTGAAAACCCTGCGTCCCTAGCTGTCCCTGGAAGAGAGAGACTTTTGTGTTGGTAGAGAGGTGAGGTGGAGAATGTACGTTCGTGTGCATGAGAGTGAGGGTGACAATGCAAGGGTCAGGGTAACTGGAGGAGGAACAACAGACATAACAAAGGGGGATGGAGAGAGGCTGTAAATAGCACAGATCAATACTTGGCTGGCAGCCAGGGACTCCAGGAGCCAGAAGAAACCCTTACAACAGGTCCCCAGGGAAGGCCCCCCACCCCCACCCCATGGGTGATTCCCAGGCTTGTGGACTGTCATTTTCTTTCTTCTCTTTCCTTTGGTCAGCCCAGGCCTGTTTGGAATTAGACTGACCCAGGAGCCACGGACCAGTTTCTTAAAGCAGAGCCCTGGGAGTGATGGGGGAAGGGGGCGTTTGGATAATTATTTTTCCCCTCCACCCTGTCCCACCCAGCCCATATATGAATGGAGTCTTCTCCACTTCTTACTTGCTTCATCCCTCTTGCTGATCGAACCCCTATTGCTGACATCCCCACCAAAGCTTCAACTCCCACCACCATGGTTTTAGCCAGAACCTGCTCAGGTTAGTCCTTACCTGGTGTGGGTGTCCCTGGTGGGGAGGCCTGCTGGCTGCCGGAGGGACAAAGTGCTGTGGTTTCTGTGTCCATGTCCATATCCATATCGTGGTCCGTGTGCATCAGTGTGTGTGTGCATCCACACAGGAGTGCAGACCAGCAGCTTGTGGCACCAGCTCCCTCAGCAGCTCTGTCAGCTTTCCCCTTTAAATACCACCCCCCCCAGCCCTCCCCGCAGACACCTGGGGAAATTGTCCCGCCCCCTGATGAGGTCACATATGCTAATGAGCAGTGATGTCAGCGGGATTCCCTCCTTCGGCCCCCCCTCCCTTTTCTTTGTGTCATTTCCCGCTGGGAGCAAACTGGAGGCAGAGCTGAGTTAAGGCAAGACAGAACAAAGTCGGAGGGGTTGAAGAGGCAGGTTAGAGGGTTGAGCTGTGTGTGGTGTGTGTTCCCATGACTAAGGAGGCTGAGGATGGCAAGAGGCAGGGATCCAAGGGACAGGTATTTTGGTCAGGATACAGGACTATGTGGCATTTGTCTGTTTCCAGCTTCTTCCCGCTTCCAGCCCAGAGCACTGTTCAGTGGCTAAAAAGGGATGAGGGACATAAAGACTGAAAGCTGATCTGAAAGATGAGACAGAAGGACAGCCAACCTACCACACTGTCACCTCCATTTTGCCTCTTCTAGGCTAGGAGCCACATAAGTACCCTTGCCCAGTCTGTCCCCTAGGCAGCTGCTTTGTTTGGGAAGCTTCATTCTGCGACTGAGTTTAGGTAAGTGTGGGCTCCTCCACCTTCTCTCCTTCACCACTTGGTCCATCAGTTAATCAAGAGAAAGGAGAGAGACAAAGCTGACTCACAGTGGATGATGTTTACCGCTGTGTGTAGCCAGGGCAGGTGGCCCCTTTACAGTCCCTTTTCTGCCCAGTTCCTTTGCCCTTCGGATTCCCACCATTGGCTTTCCAAATACCTTTATGATGGGGGTGTGGCTTAAATGATGAAGTACCTGCCTTGCATGTGTGAGGCCATGAGTTTAAACCCCAGTATGGTGTCCCACACCAAGAAAAATAAAAAATGCTTCACAGTTGCATTTATATCTTTTTGCTGGTTAATGGGAGAAAAAGTCTCTTGAACTGTCCTTCCTGGGCTGGCTTCAAATAGGGCTTCTCAGAGCTAAATGGATAGGATTACAGGCTGAGCCACTGCTCCCTCCCCCTCTTCTCTTTCTGCCTGTACTGGGGTTTGAACTCAAGGCCATACTCACATACTTACTTGGCCTTTCAAGTCAAGGCTGGAACTCTACCAATTCAGCCACACTTTACTTCCAGCTTTTTGGTTGTGAACTGGCTTTGTGAACTTTCTTGCCCAGGCTGGCTTTAACCATGACCCTCTCAAGTTTACTGAGTAGCTAGGATTACAGGTGTGAGCACAGGTGCCTGGTTGCTTCTCTGATGCTCTTAGGTAGCCAGCACACATTCTGATCTCCTCTTCCCACCAATACTTTGCCAAGACTTTGCTGAATTCTTTCCTTTCTGTGACCCCAAGGCTCAAAGAGTAGCTGAGCGGCCTGTCTCTAAAGCAATTATGTGGGGCATCACTAGGTTCCCACTTAAGAGTTTCCTAAAGCTGTGCATTGTTTTTGATTTCTTCACCATACTGCTTTCTTGTCTTAAATATCAAGACTGCCTCTTAGTATTGGGAACAACAGATTTTGCTGTCCTAAGTAGACTTTTCTTTTTTCTTTTTTTTTTTTGGGGGGGGTCCGGTTGTGGGGCCTGAACTCTGGGCCTGGGTGCTGTCCCTCAGCTCTTCAGCTCAAGGCTAGCGCTCTACCACTTGAGCCACAGCGCCACTTCTGGCTTTTTTCTTTTTGCTTATGTGGTACTGAGGCATCGAACCCAGGGCCTCATGCATGCAAGGCAAGCGCTCTACCACTGAGTCACCTTCCCAGCCCCCTAAGTAGACTTTTCTGATGAAAGAAGTGAGTGGTAATCTTGGGGGATAATGTGCAGTGGCAATTCGTTTATCTAGAGATCAACTACAGGGCTGGGAAGGTGGCTCAGTGGTAGAGCGCTTGCCTTGCATGCATGAGGCCCTGGGTTCGATTCCTCAGCACCACATAAGCAAAAAGAAAAAAGCTGGAAGTGGCGCTGTGGCTCAAGTGGTAGAGTGCTAGCCTTGAGCTGAAGAGCTGAGGGACAGTGCCCAGGCCCAGAGTTCAGGCCCCACAACCGGACCCCAAAAAAAAAAAAATAGAGATCAACTACAGGGCAGGGTTTGAATGACCAGAAAGGTCTCCACCAGCAGCTAACAGTCCTCAATGACAGCATACTTATCTTGATTTTAATCACAATTTTGTATGTTCATGTGTGTTCTGGTAGTGGTGCATTAGAAGCACATTTAGGGCAGCAAGTTATCCTTGATAGCCTAATAAGAAGGGAGTTGATCTCACACCTCTTAAAGCACTCATAAACATTTACAAAAGGGTCTAAGGTCATGCTCCAAGATTACTTAGTATTAAGGCAAAAAAATTCCCCATGGATATCACTTTTAAAGACATAAGAGGCATTAGTTCCCATGAATGGTCAACTGTTTAGAAAAATTTCCAGCTCTCCTGAAGATATAACTTTTTTTTTCTTTTTGTCGGTTATGGGGCTTGAATTCTGGGCCTGGGCATTGTTCCTGAGCTCTTTAGCTGATGGTTAATGCTCTACCACTTTGGGCCACAGTGCCACTTCCAGTTTTCTGTTGATTAATTGGAGGCAAGTCTCATGGACTTTCCTGCCCGGGCTAGCTTTGAACCATGATCTTCAGATCTCTAGGATTACAGATGTGAGCCACAGGCACCCAGCTTTTTTTTTTTTTTTTTTGAGACAGGATTTACTGTGTAGTCCAAGCTAGGTTTGCATTTGTAATCCTCTTGCCTCAGCCTCCTGAGTGCTGGGATTAAAGATGTACCAAATGTATCAGTTTCATATTTTAGACTATTTCCTTCCAAACCACATGTTTCTGTGGGATTGTTTTAAATTGTAAAGGTCCAGTCATAGTGGCATACTACTGTAATCCCAGCACGCAGCTGAGGCAAAAAGACCATGAGTTTAAGGCCTATCAGGGCTACATAGTAAGAACCTGTCTCAAAATACACACACACACACACACACACACACACACCTAAAGGAATGCACCTTACCTTTCTAGAAAACTCACTTGGGCTGGATTCATTTCTGTGATACTACCTAAGAGTGAGAAGCAGTAAACCCTAGCAACAGTTCTCTTCCACAATTTTTGTCTCCCTTGGTCCATTCATGAGTCATGGAAGTAGCTAGGATTTTCCTTTGAACAACATTCCCCTCAAGCTGAAAGGAGGCAGTACTTTTACTTGACCAGCACTCAGCAATGGGAGGTGTTATGGGGTACTCCCATAAAATTTGGGATGCAGCACATGCCATTGGTTCACACTTATAATCCTAGCTACTCAGAAAGCTAAGATTTGAGGATGGCAGTTTGAAGCCCTGGTAGAAAAGTCCATGAGACTCTATCTCCAATAAACTAACAAAAAAAGCTAGCAATAGAGCTCAATGGTAGAGTGCTTGCTTTGAGCAAAGACACTCAGGGGCAGTGTCTAGGCTCTGAGTTCAAGCCCCCAGGCCCACCACATACACATACATACACACGGATTTGGAATGAAGTAGAAGTGTAGCTATGTGGTAAAGTGCTAGCCTTGAGTGAAAAAGCCAGGTCAGATTGCAAGGCCCCAAGTCATGCCCCAATACTGACACACACAGACACAGACACACACTCACACACACAATTTGGAATGGGACCAAGCTGGACCTAAATCCTGAATCTATGAAATAGTGTTGACAAGCCCTAGGGCACAGCTTTGTTTTCAGGGTTAAGTACATGTGAGAAAGGACCTGGCACTCAACTGGAGCCCAACTCTAGCCCACCCTAGTTGCTCCCAAGCCTCTGACTACATGGCTGGGGTCTCTTTCCCTTCCTAACAGAGCCTGAAACCTAATTCAGGCCCAGATTTTTTTTGGGGGGGTTGCTTGTGGGGCTTGAACTCAGGGCCTGAGCACTGTCCCTAAGCAATTTTTCTCAAGGCTAGAACTCTACCACTTGAGCCACAGATCCACTTCCAGTTTTTGAGTGGTTAATTGGAGAGAAGAGTCTCATGGGGACTTTTTTCCCTGGGCTGAGATCCTCAAATCTCAGCCTCCTGAGTATCTAGGATTACAGGTGTGAGTTACCAGCACCCCACCAGAATTTAAAAAAAAAATGTTTTTTCCAGTCCTGGTGCTTGGACTCAGGGCCTGGGCACTGTACCTGAGCCACAGTGCCACTTCAGGCCTTTTCTTTTTATGTGGTACTGAGGAATTGAACCCAGGACTTCATGCATGTTAGGTAAGCACTCTACCACTAAGGCACATCCCCAGCCCCAGAATTTTATTTTGTCGGTCATGGGGCTTGAACTCTGGGCCTTGGTGCTGTGCCTCAGCCCTTCAGCTCAAGGCAAGTGTTCTACCACTTAAGCCACAGTGCCACTTCTAGTTTTCTAATGGTTTTATTGGAGATAAGGGTGTCACAGACTTCCCTGCCTAGGCTGGCTTTGAACCGTGATCCTCAGATCTCAGTCTCCTGAGTAGCTAGGATTATAGGTGTGAGCCACCAGTGCCCAGCTCAGAATTTTCTTTTTTTTTTTTTCTTTTTTGTTGGTTGTGGAGCCTAAAGTCTGGGCCTGAGCGCTGTCCCTCAGCTCTTGAGCTCAAGGCTAGTGCTCTACCACTTGAGCCATAGTGCCACTTCCGCCTTTTTCTGCTTATGTGGTGCTGAGGAATCAAACCCAGGGCCTCATGCATGCAAGACAAGCACTCTACCACTGAGCCACCATCCCAGCCCCAGAATTTTTTTTTTTTTCTTTTGTCGGTTGTGGGGCTTGAACTCTGGGCCTGGGCACTATCCCTGTGCTCTTCAGCTCAAGGCGAGTGCTCTACCCTTGAGCCACAGCAGCACTTCTGGTTTTTTAGTGGTTTATTGGAGATAAGAGTCTCATGGACTTTTCTGCCCAGGCTGGGTTTGAACCTCCATCCTCAGATCTCAGTCTCCTGAGTAGCTAGGATTACAGGTGTGAGCCACCGGCACCTAGCTTTAAATTTTTATTTCTTAAGGACTAAATTTCTAGGCTTTTATCTCAGATTGAGTCAAAGACTGATCCCCATCTTATATCAGGGCACTTCCTTCCTCCCAAAGAGAACATTGATGGATTCCCACCATTCACACTGATGACATCCTAGACAGTGCTTTCTATTTTGGCAAAGTTTTCTTTTTAAAAATTGGGGGAAAGTGACTGGGGTTTAAATGCAAGAATCTTGCATTTACTAAGCAGGTGCTCTACCTCTTTTTTCTTTTTCTTTCTTTTTTTTTTTTTGCCAGTCCTAGGACTTGAAATCAAGGTCTGGGCACTGTCCCTGAGCTTCTTTTACTCAAGGTAACACTCTACTGCTTGAGCAACAGTGCCACTTCTGGCTTTTTCTGCTCATGTGGTACTGAGGAAAACAACCCAGAGCTTCATGCATGCCAGGCAAGCACTCTACCACTAAGCCACATTCCCAGCCCTCTTTATTAGATTTTAAGATGACCATATCCTAGTTGAAAATCTGGAATGTAGCCGGGAGCTGGTGGCTTACACCTGTAATCCTAGCAACTCAGGAGGATGAGCTCTGAGGATCATGGTTCAAAGCCAGCCTGGGCAGTAAAGTCCGTGAGGCTCTCATCTCCAATAAACCACCAGAAAACTGGAAGTAGTACTGTGGCTCAAGTGGTAGATTGCTAGCCTTGAGCTAAAGAGCTGAGGGACAGCACCCAGGCCCAGAGTTCAAGCTCCACGATCAACAACAACAACAAAAAGAAAAATATCTGGAGTGTAGGTTACAAGTTTGGTACACAGCCCCTTAGCACTCTGGGGTGGGAAGTTTTAGGTCACTGGGACCTCAAAAGGGATTGTAAGTCAGGTACTTGTGATGCAAGCCTTCTAGCTACTCAAGAAGCTGAGATTTGGGAATTCTGGCAGGCAGTAAAGCCCGTGAGATTCTCCAGTTAACCTCCAAAAAGCTGGAGGTAGGGTTGTGACTTAAGTGTAAAAGCTAAAGGACAGTATCAAAGCCTTGAATTCAAATCTTAGTATTCCCTCCAAAAAGGGATTGTGGGACCCTGATTTCTTCCATACCCTTGCTCTGTATTACAGTTTTGTTGTGCTTTGATTTCCCCTCACAATGTACTATGTCCCCTCTCCCCAGCAAAACAATGGGGCCTATTTCAAACAGAAACTTCCAGAACTGTAAGCCAAAACAACCTTTTTCTCTCTGTAAGTTGACTGTCTCAGATATTTGTTAGAGTAACAGATATGTTAGAATGACTACACACCTTCTTTTTCTTGGGCCCTGGTGAAAGTAGATTGGGTGACTGCTCAATGCCCTCTCCTGTTTGTGAGAATACTCTTCATTTCCCTATGCTATCTGTACAAGGCACTGCTATTCCCAAACAATGTGGCTTCCCTGGGCTGATTAGTGGTATTACTGCTTGCACCTCTGACAACATGCAGCCAGCACCTAAAGAACTTCTAATGTGTTGGGCTCCAGTGGCCCATGCCTGTAATCCTAGCTCCTCTGGAGGCTGAGATTTGAGGATCACAGTTCAAAGCCAGCCCAGGCAACAAAGTCTGTGAGACTCTTATCTAATTAACCACCAGAAAACTGGAAGTGGTGCTGTGCCACAAGTGGTAGAGTGCTTGCTTTGAGCTGAAGAGCTCAGGGTCAGTGCCCATGCCCAGAGTTCAAGCCCACAACCAACCAAAAACAAACAAACAAACAAAAAACTACTAACGTAAGCACCATTGGCATAAAATTTCTAATATAAGCATAGTTTTTTAAGGAAACTCTACCCTAACATTCTCTAGCAAATACTCCTGGGAGGGAGAAGGTCTAGAACAGGTCAAAGGGTAAAAGTATCAAGCTGCAGGCTTTCCAGGTGGCTGAGGAGGGTTGGAGCAGCAGGGAAAAGAGCAAAGGCCAGGCAATGGAGAGATTGGGAAAGAGGAACCACAGTCCTGCTTCACTGTTCTGCACTGGTCTGGTGCCAGAATTCTGGGATCGTGTGGAGGGCCCAAAAGGAGAACTGTGAGCAACAACCAGCAACCTGAAGGCCCTTCTTCAATCTTTGGAAGAGGGTATGGAGTTAAAGGAGCTCAGTCAAGGTGCCCCGGTCCCAGGACTGCGCCCAGGTCCTAGGTCTGTTCACATCCCCTCTGGGAGGAGGGAATAATTACTGCCTGGTGTGAGAATGCTCACTAGGTGCAAAAAACAGAGCCCCTCCACCACAGAGGTTGGGGCAGACAACCCAGGCAGACAGGAAAGGAGGGGCCAATTCCCAGGGGGAGTGCTTCCACTTTGTGGCTGAAGTATCTCTCCCAGCCTAGACTCCTTCCCTTCCTATTTTCCTTGGAAACTGAGGCAGCTCCTGTCCCTTCACTCACACCATCATCCCTCCTGCCTCACCCTTCCTAGTTCCTTGGCTCTGAGCACTGCTTGCCCTCTGCTGACTTTTCTTAGGGGGCCCATGGGTCTAGCCCTCATGTGACTTTATTTTGCTTTTCCTTTCTAGGAATCATAATCCGAATCCAATTGCTGAGAGCATTCTTCACAGCTCAGATTGCGCCCTCTTCCAGGAAGACCGCTCCAATTTGTCTGCAGTGATGGTACTTTCAGTGATAGGTACTTTTCCCATCCAAATTCGATCTTTCCCTCAACTAATCTTTGCTAGCTGTAGAAGATCCAGGCTTAGACCTCATCTGTTTTGTGTAGGAGAGATCTTTACATGCCTGATGTGGGTGCAGGGCAGGAGTCAGAGCTCCTCTGTTCCACCAAGCGAAGTTTGCTCCTGTGATTTGTGGTTCTGACTTTACTCCATAAATGGGAACCTTCTCAGCTTCAGGGCCCAGCTGGCTCCCTAAATTCCTGCCTGCAGTGAACAAAGAAGCTTGGTATTCACCACTGCTGTCCCTCACTATGGGGCTGGGTTCTAGGGAGTTCCCTGGCCAGTGTGGTGGCTTGCACCTGTAATCCTACTCAGGAGGCTGAGATCTGAGGATCATGGTTCAAAGCCAGCCAGGGCAGGAAAGTCCATGAGACTCTTATCTCCAATAAACCACTAGAAAAACCAGAAGTGGTGCTGTGGCTCAAGTGGTAGAGTGCTCACTTTGAGCTGAAGAGCGCAGGGACAGCGCCCAAGTCCCTAGTTCAAGCCCCACGACTGACAAACACACACACACACACACACACACACACACACACACACACACACACACACACACACACACACACACAC